CAATGTGCCCTGATACAACTCTGTCTATTGCCAGATGATTTTACTTGTCAAGGGGAGAGTGCTGCAACTCAATGGTTCAACCGGTACCATTCAGTATACGGGAAAAAACAGTACCCGGCACATCCCTATTAATTTTCTTTGCTAGAGTTTGAAACTATTTTAAATCTTCTTTCAGTGATTCAACAATGGAGACTGTCGATATATCTGAGGAAACTGTCAATCCCGGTGACGAGAAAATCGGACCGGAGTCATTTGAACTGTTGAAAGTGCTAGGGAAAGGAGGCTACGGGAAAGTATGTATACATGCATCAGTTAGGCCTTGTTTTAATGCGGGACCCAAACAAACCTAGAGCTGGTAGGTTTTGGTCATGGTGTTGTCGCTAGTTGTTGTTTGAAGCAGGATGACACTAGTGGCGAAGAGAGCCATAGCAACAGGTCATGCTATGCAACTTTTTTATGACTTTCATCATTCAAACCTTTAGAAATGTATGCAGGTTTTTAGCACAGCATGACCGGTTGCCATGGCTGGCTTCGCCCACTGGTTAACACACAAAACTGATAATGCACATGAATGATAACAATGTATTTATTCTTCACATATACTGTAACTTAATATACATAAGTTAAGCGTATTCCATTCTGGCATTCAGGTGTTTCAAGTAAGGCAGGTGGCTGGCCACAATGCAGGGAAAATTTTTGCTATGAAAGTTCTAAAAAAGGTTTGTGTATGCCCCACAAAAGCATATTTTAAACCCACGGCGAAGCTCTAGCTACATTTCTTGATATATCTTGTGTTCAATTTTTAGGCTACAATTGTTCGAAGTCAAAAAGATACGGCTCATACTAAGGCTGAAAGGAATATTCTTGAAGCTGTTAAGGTAATAATTATAAACAAATATAGCACTTTGTTGTCTTTGTACCATTATAACTTGTTGTTGAATAATTTGTGATGCCTTATATGAACATATTAATTTATGCATTGTCCATTTTCTTCTGTACTTGGCAGCATCCGTTTATTGTGGATTTAATATACGCATTCCAAACTGGAGGAAAATTATATCTTATTTTGGAATACTTAAGTGGTATGCCATTATTTTTACATTAATTAAGAATATAATATATCAGGGTTCAAATTAACAGTGTTCAAATTAACAATATTCAAATTAACAATGTGCGGTTTGCACATCGTTCTGGACCAAATAGTGAAAATTGCACATTACTTTTCCAAACGATGTGCTAAAAATCAGATACATCCATCCATATTTATATATAAATCAAAGCCCATCTGTTGTCTTATAATTTAGAAACAAGTGTTTTTGCATGCACACTAACACTACAGCATGTTTGCAGATTGGAAGGTGTCAAATTTTAGCAACCATGACATGTGACTGATTAAATTAATGTTATGTGTTAGGTTTATATATCAAAGATTGCAAACAATGTTTAAAAAGTATTCAAATAATTAAATTATTCCAGTTTGATTGAGTAGATGTTTGACTGAGTAGCTAACACAATCATGAACCTATTTTATTAAAATTTAGAGCCTCATTTTAGATTTGGAGCACATTATTTTTTCTCAACTAATTCGAACCCTGTAACGTATTAATCTTTTGAACTGCAATGTGCTCTGATGTGCCCTACTTCATTATTTTACTCTGTCTAATGCCAGACGATTTTACTCATCAAGGGGAGAGCACTGCCACTCAATGTGTAAAAGTGTTGCAACTATATATTTTAGGTGGAGAACTTTTTATGCATTTAGAAAGAGAAGGAATTTTTATGGAAGATACTGCCACGTATGAACTGGAATTTTATTGTACAACTTAGCCATTGCATTGTTATAACTTTTCATTTTTAATGCCATTTTTGTCAATGCCATTTTTGTAATCATATATTGTTTCATATTATTTTAGGTTTTATCTATCAGAAATAACCCTAGCTTTAGAGCATTTACATAAACAAGGAATAATATATAGGTAAAAATTTGTAAAAAAAACTGTATTGAAACTACACAAAATTTTGTGACCATGAGGGCAGTAATACCTACTGTATACTCTGAAATAAGTACCCGGAACCCAAATGTCAATGCATTCAAAGTCATCAGTTAGACATGTGCTTAATATTTTATATTAATTAACTTCAATTAATAATTCATGAAAAACACAAAGAAATGTGATAGAGATTTCCCTTGATTTACATAAACTTTAACTTTGATTTTCTTGACTTACACAACATATTTTTTGAAAATTGCTTTGCCAATGAACTTACTAGATGGTCGTTTTTGAAGCAATTCAGAACACTCGCAGTGCATGTTTTATCAGACCTAAAGATACTAGGCTTTGCCTCGGTATCTTTATATCTGATAAAACATTGCTGCTCATGTTTTAAATAGTACATTATAAAATTATGCTGTAGAATTGTAAATTTGAACAGATATTTTTTGTATACAAAATATTTTTCTAACATTGTATATACACATAAAGTTTCCATTTTTATTCTGTAAAAATATTCCACATTTATTTTGTGTAGAGATCTTAAACCAGAGAATATTTTATTACAAGCAGACGGTACGTTCCTTGTAAATTCTTAGTATTTGTTGCTGCTATTGTGCCAAATCTCCTTGCTCAAATGAATTTTGATGTCAATAACTTACATTCGTGATTTTATTTTTATGTAGGACATGTTAAGTTAACAGATTTTGGTCTCTGCAAGGAGTCGATATTTGAAAATAATGTTACGCATACGTTTTGTGGAACGATAGAATACATGTAATGACGAACGTTTAAGTTAAACCCCTCACTTTTCTTTGCAAAAATTATGAAAAATTCTTGAGGATTAAGAGGAAGCTTCATATTTCATTTGTGTTGCTATAGGGCTCCAGAAATTTTAACAAGAAGTGGTCATGGCAAAGCGGTAGACTGGTGGAGCTTGGGTGCTTTGATGTACGACATGCTTACAGGGGCCGTAAGTATCATTCATACGGTTGAAAATTTTGTGTTCTTTCTTTCTTTGAACAGTACTAATCAAATAATACAGTATATCTTTACTTTAAATGAAAACTACTTTATTTGATCGGTTAAAATGTCTGTGCATAATAAAATTAATTGGCCATTTGTTCAGCTAATAGTTCAAACTTAAAACTCAAGGTGTACTTTAAAATAAGTTCAGGTTTCTGAAATATATTCATTCATGCAGTGATCTGAAACCACAGGGTGTCCAAAAAAAAAAACAAATTAAGAGTTAATATTATACCATAACAATATTTGTTTTGAAGAGGCCATGTTTGAAATTAGTTTAGTTTGAAATTAGTTTGAAATTGATCGGTCATTCGGTGTTTTTGTTTGGCAAATAGCCGACTGCCGATTGTTATAATCCACACTGAATTCAAGTGTTATATATCAAAATCTAAGTTAGTCTTTTCTGGATGCAAAGATCTTTATTTCATTGCGATAGCTTTTATAGCTTTTACCTTACATGGAAAGGTCAAATGGCACAAAAGACTGTAATGTTGGTACACCGGTCCCACCCTGAATTTAGTGTAACAATAATGAGTTTGATCTGCAGGAAATTTTGATGTCCAGACTGTGCTCCCAGGAAGAAAATTATGTTCTTCAGGGAGTGATCACTACTTTTTTCCAAACATAACAAAAAATAATTTAAACGTGTTTGATATTTTAGCCACCATTTTGTGGAGATAATCGGAAGAAAACGATTGATAAGGTACTACATTGTAATATTGTTAAAGAAAAACCATTCTCTTAGTTTCTTTTTAATAAATTTTGGACTAAATGAAATGAATATACAATAAAAAGTTAAGAAAAAAATTTTAACATAAAAATACTGTCTTTTAGATTTTGAAAGGAAGATTGCAATTACCTCCATATCTCACACCAGAGGCTAAAGATTTGCTAAAAAAGGTAAATTTTATTGACTAAGTCGCAATTTGATCAGAAGAGATCTGAGTCGATTTTATCAGAAAGGGATGAACATCAAGATGCAACATCTCCCTGAGACATCCTCTATCTAGACGAAATCAATTACACCTGATAATATTTCTGATTGTTCGTCTCTAACCTGTGATCATGTTCTGTATATAAAGACCTGATCGCATGTTAGTTCGTCTTATTTTACCCATATAGCAATCATATGACAATCATATGACAACACAAACTGCACGAGAACTAGTCGCACCAAGGCTATATGTTCATAAAAACTTTGTAATGTTTTAATTTCTTTTATATTTGACCATCTACTAACTCTTTTATAGTTGCTGAAGCGTCGAGCTCATTTGCGTTTTGGTGGAGGCGTTGACAATGCGGAGCCAATTAAGGTTTGATTAATATATCTCTTAA